GACGAAGCAGTAAGAAAGAGTATTTTGAGTCTGTGCCTCGAGAGGCGGGTGAGTGGTCGTAAGAAGTACTGGAAAGGTGCGGGATCAGGTGAAGCTTGGGGCAAGATGTGAGTTTAAGATTAAGATTTTCTATTGGAGGGCTTTGTATGTTTCTACTGGTTGCTCTAAGAAAGAGCATAAAGATTGGCTGAAAATTTAGCGCTTAGCAAAAGCATTTGCATCAACCAGTGTGATGGTAGAAGTTGAGTTCGTATTTCGTGCTACCTTAGCTTGCAAGTCTGCACATTCATGCTTTCTATGTTTGCCAGTGCAGAAATCCATTGGAGTTCACAGGATTTTCCTTCATTGGGGAGCTCAATTTTTAATTATTAAGCATCATATTCATGTTCAAAGAATAATTATTTCGTTCGATAACAACTTTATTTTCAATTGTCATTTTCCTGAATTTGGAGATTTTTTTTAAAAGAAAGAATGCATTTTCAGTTTACATTGTTTGATATTTTATACCCATTGAATCAACTTGTAAACCCTTGCCTTTTTTGTTATTGTGATTGCATTGAATAAGAAGCACTTCGAATTCAGTTTTTAAAATTCTTAAGACGACGTCAGTTGTTACATAACAATGTTTCTATTTTTTTACTCTGCAACTTCCAGAAAAATTCTGTAAAAACATCTTGACAAATTTACAAAAAAAGTTTCCACAGACAATATATTTATAAGATTTGAACAATACATTAATAATTCACTAGAGGATGATCAATGAGTTACATTTGATGCCTTATTTCTCATATCAAGATGTAATGTTGTCAATAAAAACACGCAAAAAAAAATGAATAATTTTAGTATTCAATCAATGAGCTTTTTTGTTAAAAATCAAAACGTCAATCTATAATAAATAAAACTCGGTAAAAATAAAAAAATGGATTTCAAATTTCAAAATCTAACGCACACATTGGATTTTATTTATAAACTCTATTTCATGGGGTTGAGTACTAATTTGGAAAAAAGATTTGATAAGGCGAATAAGTGAATAATTTCAGAGTGCATGTTAGAAAATTAAAAAAAATTCTATCAAATATGTACAGGTTAATGTCAATGAAACTGTAATAATGTCAATGCAATAATGTCAATGAAAATGTAAGTACATATATCTTTAAAAGTAATTTTAATAGCTTGATACCTGCATCGTGTGATTAAATTATGTAGTCTCTTAAATTGCATAATATTAAAATGATAACCTACCATATGTCATATGAAGTATACAATATTAATAAATATCTCATTCAAGTCACGTGGAAAAAAATTATTGAAAAATCAAGCGTGAAGGATGCATTAGATCTTAGATATCCATCTCATATGTTATTTCTTATCTCCTATGTGATAAGAAATAGAAATTCTTTAGGATAAACGGGATGGATAAAGTTAAAAATTGAATATGAATAATTCATAGATAAATAGCATCGTTAATTCTATTCACTAATTTTTCGTGATAAAATAACAGTTGATGCAAGTTTTAGGCTAATACGTCCCATTACTTTAACGTGGTTCAATATTACGAGGTCCGTCGCCAATAGCACCCGTGTTGCTTCTAGTGCGTCGTTAATAAAAAAAAACATAAAAAACCCATTACTTTTAAATAGACACTTGTAAATAGATGAAATTCAATAATTTTATTCAGTCTGTAATTATAGGTAGGGAGGAAAAGGATAATGAAATTTAAACCAAGAATTTAAACTTATCACAGAAATAAAACGTAAGGTTCCACCGAGATTTGAGCTCGGATCGCTGGATTCAGAATGCTAACCATTACACCAAGGAACCTCATCATCCCATGCCGGGAATCGAACCCGGGCCGCCTGCGTGAAATCCAGGAATCCTAACCACTAGACCACATTGGAGTGCTTGCGAATATTATCTTTAACATGCGGGTGTCAGGAAAAATATCATTAACAATTCTTTTTAAGGCTACACGGTACTCTTTTTCAAAAAATTTTTTTGGAGACAGTAATATTAAAAGTAACTTATGTATTGTTTTCATACAATATTATTAAACTGATTCTGAAAATAAAAAGTCAATTTAACTAGTCCTTATTTTAAAATTTAAAAATTTTGAAGTTTTTTTAAACCCTTATAAAATACACAATGTTTGAAATTTTGTAATTATTTTGAGTGATTTATATTTCATACATTATTGCAAACAAAAGTTAGTATGGATTTGAAAATCTGTTCCCTTGTTGATTTTTAATAATTATTTTTCTAGCTAAACCTGGAAAAAACAGGAAAATTTTTAAAATATTATCTTTAACATTTTTTTAAAAAATAACTAGGGATCCCAGACCTAAATCCATACTAACTTTTATAGAACACATATATCTCAGTATGTATAAAAAATTTCAAGACTCTATCTTGAACAGAAAAAAAGCCTTAGGGATTAGAAAACACTTACATCTTCAAAAATAAAAGTCTGAGAAAAATGCATTTAAAGTTTTTAAAGGCATAAAACAAAAACTAATAATACTTGCAAAGATCTAAATTTTTAATATATTATTTAACTACTTATATAATATATGAAAACACTACTTTAATTAAATATTATGGCAAATATTTTTATTTATTCAAAATATGTTTTTGCAAAATATCGATATAGCATTTTTTACGATGACAGATAATTCAGCTTAAAGTTAACATAATAATTTCACAAAAGTTTTAAAACACAATACACTTATAAAAAATAATAATGATATAAATAAAAGTTTAAAAAAAGTTAAAAACTACCAGGTTTGTACATAGCACCTAATTTTTTCTGAATTTTAAATCGACGCAATTTAGCAAGTTTTATTTTTTTCTGCGCAACTTTAAAATTTGCAGATTTCCTTTTCTTTCTGAAATAGGTTCTCCTACAATGAATAAAGTACACTAAATGTTCTGATGACAAACTTGTTACAAATTCAATTAGCATCCTGAAATGTTTTTAGAGTTTTTAATGTTCCAACAATAAATTCAGGTATTGCACTCGACATGGCAATCAACACGACTCCTAGAAGCTGTATTTTCTTTGGAATATTTGTCCCATATCATCGAATGTAATGCTTCATTAGAATTGTGTGTCAAACCTCTGACACATGTGCTTAATAATTCAGTTGATGCTAATCGCTGATAAATAGGCAAGATTTTGGGCAAATATTCTTCGTTGATTGTTATTTTTACCCAATTTTTGTGAATACCTGATTTTTTTCCACGTGCTAATGATAACTGGTAAAAATACCAAGAGTCAAAGAGCAAGATTGTGTCCCGGAAACTAATACTCTCAGATCTTTCCCATAATTTCACAGCTGCATTTACTTCCATTGCACTAGATGATCCGACATGTGTTGTACTACAAACATTTTGTTGTCCTTTGTACCAAATACGAAATTCAGCACTTTCTTCTCCAAGCTCAAATTTAGTCTGTTCACATTCTCCACGCCGCTTTGACATTACTTCGTAGTCTATCACAAAGCCAGTCAGCAAGTCGATAACATATCCTATTCCGATATTTGACGTTGACGTATGTTCTCTTGTCAACCAGCTTCCATCATATGACATTCCAATACCGACTATATCTTTATCATTCCTTGAGCCCTACGCCTCAATGACATCTTTACGAATATAAAGCAACGGCTGATTTGACCCAACAAGATGTCCAATCAGAACTTTGGGCTTATAATGTCTTTTAAAAGTTTTACTAAACATTATGTTTCAATTCATATGCATGCAGAATTTTTCCAACGATGAGTAGCCAAGTCACAAACTTAACATACCTTGCACTAATCTCATATTTATATCAAATGGAACATTAAAAAATTGATGCTTGCTAACATTTGATATTTGATGTAATATAGCATCAACTAATTGTTATGAACATGTTTCACTCTATGTTTGGTCACAATTAACACATACAACATTCACTTTATATGCAAATCTATTTCTTTGACCATAGCAAAGTTTTAAAGATACACTATGACAAATATTGCTTAAAAATATTCCAAAATTATCTGTAAACAAACATTCAGTATCCACTATAATGTAATTTGAAAGATACTTTTATATGTAGCAGAAGTATTAAAGATATTTGTATTCTGAAGTTTTGTAGTTATATCCACTAAAGCAGCTTTTTAGCATTGTCATTATCAGCAGTACTCCATCTCTTAGAAATGTTGATTCTCTTCTCAAGCTGCGAAAGTTTTGTCCATGGCATTTTCTCAACAGAAAAAACTTCACTTAAACAATTTAAAATAGCTTTTCAGTTATATAAATTATATGCAGAATAAATATTGGTCTTGAGAAATACCTTTTCTTATCAATTTTGGCTAAGTAACTATAAGCACATCAAGAACTCAAAATATAAACAAACATAAATGATTTTAGTAGTGAAAGTTGAAGTTAATATCTACTTCTCTGCAAGTATCGATATTATTTAAAAAAAATATCAGTAATTATTTAAATTTAAGAATGGAAAAATGCTTTAAAATGAAACCGAAACTAACAACGCCCCCCTCAGCTGTCAAAAATAGTGACTGACAATGCTCAGAAAACTTCAAATATCTTAAAAACTAATTGGTTAATAGATCTAAAATTTGGGGCCAAGATTCCCAAATGTATGGGCTACAGGAAAATGCAAAAAACTTTTTTTCGATAAATTTGTCATTTTTAGGGTACTGTGTAGCCTTTAATAAGCTATTGGTTTGGAAACAATAATTTTATGCCTTCCGAAGTAACGCCAGTCAATTCAAATGCGTGTTGAGTGGGATCAATGTACAATAGAGTGGGTAACCAAGCCAAACCTGTGTGTAAAAGTTAAATTCAAATAGGATGCGAATTGTGTTTCTTCGCACACACACAATTTGAAAATTGCGAAAAAAAATAATCACTCATGATAATTCTACAGCTTTTTTTTTTTGGAAAAGATAATGCTCCTCTTCATTTCTGCCCGACATTCAAAAGAAATTCCAAAAACAATCTGCCACGGGTGAGGATCGAACTCCTCACGACCTTCAGATTTCTCTTTGAGAGAGATTATGAGACTGAAGCGCTGCCTACTGCGCTACCGAGGTTTTCCAAATAGCACCACATATTAATATATAATTGTGATAATAATTTAATATATAACTTTAAAAGTCTGTTATGCAAATCCATATCGATGATCGTGCCTTCCTAATTGCTTGAGATGCTTTACTGATGTGCGCAAGGCACCGTAAACGTATTCAAGACAAGAAGAGGATTTTCCTAAATTAATTTTTTATGATATTTTTCTGTCTCAAACTCGCCTCCTTCTTTCCATCATTTTTCTGTACTTTTCAGCACATGCAATAATATGTTTCCAACATTTTACCGCTCAAAAGTATGCTTTTCAATGTTTTTTTTTTCTAATTCAATTTGGTTTGTTACTTCTTGATTCCAATCCCAGAATTGGTCGAACCACTAAAGAAATTTAGGAGATGCCTGAACTGTTAGCAAAGAAAAAAAATTATCCATATGTAGATGTGGTATAATATTTTAATTTACCGTGCAGTAAGAGACTTTTTGAGTTTGTCGTCTTTTTTCATTGTTATAGAACATATTATAATACATACATATCACCGCAAACATATCTTTTCTTCCGAAAATTTATTCATCATCATTTTATTTTAAAAATTTACACGTGTGAAAAACGGCCACTCCAATTAGTGTTTTCCTAAAACTAAAATATATCATTAGAATTCTTAGTGCCGTACCTTCTCTCCAGGGACCGGGAATGACACAATAGTCCCACTGCAGCTCATGCATGTCGTAAGAGGCGACTAAAATGGGTACCCAGCGTTTGGGGGTATAGCCGGGCACCCTGCCCCTGGGGATTATATCAGGGGACCTCAGGGACTTGCCTTCTTCAGGTAAGTACGGGCATCATGACCCCGAGGTACCTTAGTGATCTTTTTCTTTCCCATGGAGTTTACTGTTTTTGATAAACAGGGGTGACGCCCTCCCGGGATACCCTAGCAATCCTTCTCTATTTTCGACCCTCCTTCTTGTCAATGACTTTTATCTTTTTTTCAACTTCACGTCTAGACCACAGTTTAATCTTGTTTGGCGCAGCATATCTGGCTCTTGCGCCAATAAACTTTACATTCACTCACTCACCTTCTCTCCAGTAGGTACTATGAAAATGTTTGAAAATGGACAAAATTTCCAAGGAGTTTGAATAATTTTGACGAAAGCGTAAATCTGGAATTTTGAATTCATAAATCACGAGAGTGGATGACGTAACATCAAATGCAGAAGTGTAACAGATTTTCTCTTTTAATCATAAACGAAATGAATAAAAATCGTACATGAATATTTAATGGGTAAGTGATAAGAAATTAAATCAATCTTATAGTTAATATTTTTATTACTAAAAATAAATTAAGGTACATTCGTTTTATATCTATTGAGTACATTTCATATGATATAACTAAGTTCAACTCACATTCTAGATAAATATAACAAGTATTTAAAAAGGAATTGAATTTTAGAATCTATTTTTAGAATTCGGTTATGTTGTAATAGGAGCAAGGATTCATGAAATTTAATCTCCTCACATAAACAAGTAACGAAAAAACAGGTAGGATTCTATGGTATTCCATTGTGAAGATGTTTAATTTTTTTGTTATCAAAAATGCATATATTATAATACAGTCCTCTTATTTTTAGAGGAACATTAGTTCTGCATTTTGCATTTTGTAAAACAGATACTGTGTACAATTTAGAATGCTCAGTACTTCATATAAATATTCTTTTGTTCAATAAGAGGCATATAGGAAAATAAAGATTTTTTTTATTTCTTCATAGCTTGAATCAAGAATACAGTTTCCACTAAAAATAAAAATTAAATATCCTACACCCACCTTTTCACAGTGCTCAGACTGATTGCTTATTGATTTAGAAGAAACACCACGGCTGATGACGACGAATATCGAAAACGTGAACCATGGCTATGTTACGAGGACGACACTTGAACTGGTGCCGCACTCTGGAAACTTCCGCTCCTCTCCAAAGTGAGCACTTTTGAGTCTCCTGAGTTTTAATGGTTTATACATGTTGTGGATGGAGTTTTGAGTGAGTTTTGATGAAGAAATTTTTGTACGATTTTTGAAATGCTATTAATTAAAATATTACAATTCAGAAGAAATTATGGGGGTTCGTAGGTTATCAGGTTGATATTGTTGAAGATTTTGAATATTGGGTAAGGAATTGTAGAAATTGATTGCTAAATGTTATATGTGTTAACGAAAGGTGGTTATTTTAAAGGTTTTACGAATTTCATCATTGCGCATAAACCATCTAGCTTTCTAAGAATCGAATTTTGAAGTGTTTTCAAAATTTTAATGTTGAATTGACATGCATACCCCCCCTCCCACACACACTAGGCTAGCGTAAGAGATAACTGGACTCATAACGAAGGTATAGAGAAGAGCGTTTATTTTTTGGCAGTCATTTCAGATTTTCGTCCAATTTAAAGTATTAAAAGTTTAAAAGTAAGTCGATGGAATATTTCTCGCAATTGTAGTATATGTGTTTTCCAAGTGAGTCTTTTATCTATGGTAACTCCTAAGTATTTTATACCCTGAGCCCATGGGTTAGTGGTATTCAACACTGTTGCAGGAAATGGTCAGTTCTCTTTTTTGTGAAAATTACTGCAGCTGATTTGTTAACATTAATTTTAATTTTCTATTTTGTGAAAAAGTTTTCAAGAATTTTGAGGTGAAAATTCAGAGCCTTCGGGACGGTTTTGAGGTTTTTATACCTGGAGGTACAAAATAAGTAGAATAAGTCCAAGCAAACCACTTTGGGTGATTTCGGATTTAATATTATGTGAGGAAGATAATTGTTCCTTAATTTTAACCTGAAAAGATAGATTTTTGAGGTATGAGTTTATTAAGTAAATAAGTGAAGAGTGGATTGTAATTAATTAGTTTGCATATCAGACCATCTATCCAAACTATATCGAATGATTTTTCGATGTCAAGGAAGACGGCTCCAGTTGTTAGTTTCTTTTCAAATCCAGAGGCAATGATTTCTGTTAATTTTAAAAGTGGATAGATAGTGGAGAGCTGTTAAAGAAAACCATATTGATTAGGATTGATAAGGTTAGTTTCTGTAGTAAAGGAAGTAATTCTTTTTAAGATAACAGATTCTGTTAGCTTGCAGATGTGTAGGGAGAAGAGAGATTGGTCTATAGCTTTTGGGAAGATGATTGTTCTTTTTAGGTTTAAAGATTAGGAAGACAATTGCCATTTCCCAAATTTTGGGAAAGCAAGTAAATTTAAGAATTTTATTAATTAGTCATGGGAGAATATAGCATGCAATTTGGGGAAGTTTTCTAACATCTTATTTGTTATTCCGTCATGTATGGGTGCCATTTAAGATTAAAGTTTTAATAAAGTTAATTACATCATTCGGATCTGCTGGTTTAATTGGGAGTAGGGGGGATGATAAAGAAGGAATTAATTTTTTGAGTAACATCTGACACAAAATTTTGAGAGATTTTTGTGTATCATCAACCACTGTCCCGCGTGTGGAGATAAGGGTGGGGATGTTACACTTTATTTTTAAAGATTTTTACTTTTTGCCAAAAGGAGCCATCTTGAGAGTTTAATGATTTAAAATGGGAATTCCAATTTTCGTTCGAGAATTCTTCTTTTTTAGTGGTACTTTTGATTTGATTTAGTTCGTTCAAAAATGTGGAGAAAATTTTTTCTCAATCTATTTTTGTTTTTAATTAGAATTCTTGCATATGATGAGGTGTAATTTGTGTTGAGATTTTTAATGGAAATGGATGCTTTTTTATGGGCAACCCCCACCCCCCAACAGTGAGCTCAACGATCTTCGATTCATTTTTATCGGTTGAATTTATATTTGTATAATCTTGAAAGTTGATATTGTTTTTTGACCAGTTCGTGAAAAAAGAAGTCTATCTTTTTTTTCTCTGGAGTGACGCGAAATCGATTTTTTGCTTTTCAGAACTACCTTATATAGCAACAGCAGAAGGTATTTAGTTCACCTCAGATCCACGTCGTCTACACTTGCTTGCCTTTCCAGAATAGCCGGCTTGTTCTCATAGTGGCAAAATAGTATTAAGCTGGAGGTGACCAGCAGTCGCCACATCTTTCTAATCCATTAATTTATTCGATTAAAAAGGCGAATTTTTCTGCTATTTCTCGTAATAATATGCTAATGATTTAATTCAACAACTCTAATTTTGATTCAAATGAAAAACTCTAATACAGGAAACGTGAATATTACTTACTCTAACTTTCATTAACCCCATATTAAACTTCAATTCCTGTGACTTCCCACTACTACTTAGGAAAGTCCACTAGTACAATAACAGGTCAATTGAAAAGTCCCCGGCCTGACACATAGATGGCGCTACTAGAATTAGAAAAGGATCGCCTTTCCATATCTAAAATGGATGGAAATATAGAAGAAAATCGGTAATCTGGTTCGATCTGATTGTCGATTAAGTATTCGTGCGATTTGCCGAGACTAGAAATTAACAAAGAATCCGTACAACAAATATTCCACCAAGACAGACATTCCGCATTGCCTGCCAAGAGAGTTTTAGACAAGTACAGCATTCCAGTGTTAGACCATCCGCTTTATCCGTCGGATCTTGAGCCATGCGTGTTCTATGTGTTTCCTAACGTGAATTCTATATTAAAAGGAACAACTCTTAAGTCGTTCAAGCTTTAAAAGAGAAAGAGGCTCGCATCCTGATGGAGCTGATAGAAGATTTCCAGCACTATTTCGAACTATAGAAGATTCGCCTGAAGCGTTGGAAGGTCAGATGAGGGTTGCATAATAAAGGTGATAATAAGTAAATATGTGTCGCATCAAAATAAAATCTTTTATATGTCAATCTTGTCATTTAATAGCCACACCTCATAGATCGTATTCTATAAAAATAAATTTCCTTTCAAAAGTAAATTAACTTGAAAGGACCCTTGTGTCCGTTAAAAATTCAATTTATTTATGTAAAGTTCGAGAACTGTGAATTTGTGTAGTTACACTCATTAAAATCGTCACAGTAATGATC